TTCAGTTTGTGTGACTTTAGGACAGTAGCAATCCGTGCAAACAACCTTAATAAGAAAAAGGGATGAACCCAACAAAGAATGTGTGTGGCTCAGGGCACTAATTTTCCTTGAATAACTGGTTCCTAATGCAGAACCTTTTTGCTCACAGATGCTGCCTTCCACTCACGTTACGTGCAACTTAATTTAAAAGACACAAATGTCCAGTAACTGGTTGCAGCAACCCTAAATAATCACTAGAAATTTAACTTCCAGCACATCCCAGATGCTGGGATACTCGAAAGAGATTTTAACAGCACCAGAATAGCCAAAGCCCCGTGAATGTGTATTTATTTTTACTCACTGATGTTTTGGGGTAAATGCCACATCAGAGTGTTTTTATTATCAAGTTCCTGTTCCTGCACAATGCAGCTGTACCTATTCTAACTCCTTCATCAAAGGCGACCATTTCCTTTTTTTCTTAATCTCAGATCAGTTTACTGAGAGCATTTGTCCCTGACTTCCTTAAGCTTGCCCTCCATAAAAGCCTTCTTAAAATCTTCCTTACATCCTTTCTTTCCTTAGCACATACTTAGAAATATGTGTGTACATATAAGCTCGGACAGGCACACGTGCCCATGCATGTTTTAATCAGTTTCTGCTTCAGTCCTGCAGCCTTGTGAATGGTCAGACTGGGAAAGAACTCATGGAAAATGTTACTGCCAAAGAGTAGTGAAACTCTCACTTCCTTGTGTATTTCCAAATGATTTTAATGCCTTCTTTATTTATGAGATGTTTCAAATTTCTTAACTCGGTGATAATACTACACATACAAATGTGGACTAAGGTCAAGGCTGATTGTTTTTTCACTGTGATATTGTTTTTGCTTGAATGTTGTTCCTGGATTGAGAGTTCATAGAAACCGCATGGAAATATTGGTTTATGTAGTTAGGTAAATTCTGAGTCCTGAACTTTTTTTTCACTGTGAAACAGCATTTGAGTTAAAAGAAGACTTTGGACTAATGAATGAGTTTGACTTCTGTAGGATGCCTGACATTGCTTTTGTTGCATCAGAGACCCCTGTGAAGTTCTGCCTCCAGTGTTTTGGTAGAGGGTGGAACTGGAAAGGCAAATCTCTCAAGAAAAGACCTATAGGTCCAACTCATCACTGCAAAAATGACAAAGGAGGACTTACATAGAAATATGATGCTTGAAGTTGGGCTTTTGCAGCTGTATTGTTTTGTTCCTTGTGGAAGTTTTTTTGGATTAGCCATAGTTAGATGGATGCCCAGCCCTGTGAGAGGCAGTAATATGAATTATCTTTGCCTACTGAGGATCTTAGGAAATCATGCAAGATGAAACTCCCAGTATTTTCTTTTCACACCAAAAGGGTTTTTTTTTCCCATGGAGAGGAAAAAAAAAAAAAAAGGCTTGTTAGACATAAGATATAAAGATATACTGGACATAAGATATAAAGATATACTTGACATAAAGATATTCTCAGGAATTGTGTACAGTCTAACTTATGGTAACCTTTCACATTGAAAAGATAATGAGAAATTATAGAAGAGAAATCTGGTAACAACCAGGATGGTAGGGAGGGGAAGTGGAGCTCATGTTGGACCCAGAACAGAACTACCCAGTCAGGAATGCGTTTGCAGAAATAAGTTGCTTGACAGGGTACACGAGAGGTTGGTGCTGAAGAGTTCCCCTCTGCTTAGGTGCCACCACTGCTGGAATGGCAGGAGTACATCAATGCTGCTGACCATGCTCTGGCTGCAGTGACAGTCACTTTTCCTCTGAATCTCAATTATAGAAATGTTAGTACCACATATTACCAGCAAAGACCAAGTAGAAAAGCTGAACGGAAAGTCAAAATAGTCTGTTTCTTGGTGGACAATTTCTCTGTAGGGAAATAATACTGAAATACTGAAATAATGTAGGACATGACAACTTCTTGCTCCTATTAACTTTTAACAGGATTCTCTCAATTTGTAACCCATAGTAGAATAAATCTCAATACTGAGTCCAATACAGGGAGTGGTAGGCTGAGATGCTTCTCATCTTTTTCACATTGTGGTCTACTCTGTGGCCAGAGTTGTTACTTGTCCCTCTCCTTTGCCTGCTGAGGAAATTCAGCTCTATATGAATCTTCTTGATTGTGTTTTACCGTTATCACTCTAACCTTCATGGTTTCAGTTCTTCTTGGTACCTCTTATCAAAAGCTAAAGTGCTGCTCAAACATTTTTTTACTTTTTCAATCTGTCTGGTTTCTTCTGCTGTAAATGAACTACATTTACAACAAATAAATCTGAAAAATGAACTGCAAATAAATCTGAATTTTTTGCTTATGCTTTTCTGTCTTTAAGGTTTGTAAAGCTGGTTTTGTGCAAAAAATAACACCATGCTACAGCAACAGCCAGCAGTGGTGCAGTTGCCGCGGTGCTCAGTTAGTAACACAGGCAGAGCTGAAGTATTTCTACTTCTGTGCTTCTGTACTTTCAGCTTTCTCAGCGCTTGTTTCCTGATTTGTCTTGTTAGCAGTGGTTTGCTTTGCACTCTGAGTGCAATTGCTCTGTTGGTAAGAGTTAGAGCAACTAGATCTCCATTTTTCCCTAGCATGGGCAAATCAGCAGTAATGGCCTCCTCTCCCTGGTTTTCGCTTGGCAAACTTCCCAGAAAGATGTGTACTTAATTGTAATTTGCTTTCTGTGGTCAGCAGCAATAGCTCATCTTTTAGTAGCTCAACAGCTTCTCTGTATTTAACTCTGTGTGTGTCTAAGGCCTCACTTGATCTCATACAGACTAACTCTGCATTTCAATTAAGTTGAATATATGCAGCAGAGATGATCACATTTATTGTATATACAGTTAATTCCTCTTTCATTCGCTGCTTCATCTGCTTGTTGGGACTTCAAAGTAAACAAGCAAAAAAACCCCCTGCCACTTCCTTTTGCAAAAATAATATAATTTTTCTGGGGAAGGCTTCCTCTGTGCATCTAGTACATCTTACTAAAGCTGTTTTTGAATTTTAGGCAGATGAGAAATTGTCTGTCAAAATGCTTTGAAAGAAACCATGAAATGAGCAGGCCATGAATCCAGGAACGTCACAAGAGTGGGAATATCAGACCTGTAATTTGTAATATGAGTCTTTTAGTCTAACCTCCCCTATTTCCACCCTGGTGCTAAATATACTGTTGACATCCTTGCAAGAAAACAAATGCACTGAGCTTGGAAGGGCAATGGGCACCGTTAGTTTTGGGTTAGTTTCATTTCTGTAAAATTCCTGGATAATACATGAAAAAGAAACACCAAATTTTTGCATTGTATTTGGGACGATGGTGGTGAATTTTGGCAAATAGCAGATAATCTTAATAAAAAGTTTAATCTTAAATCTACCATTTCAATTAAAAATATATTTTTAATATAAGTAAAACTGATAACTTTCAATGCTAGTACATATCATGTTCTCCAGGAGCTCTTGTTCTGGCTTAAGAAAAATCAAATTTGCATCTGAAGTGCATTAATAACTGCTGTCAAGTAAGAAGGTTGTATCAAAATGTCTATCTTGCCTGTAGCATTTGCATCAGATAACTCAGCAATACTTTGTTAGCCATCGTTCTAATGTATTTTATGCGGGAGACAGATAACCAACCCTCTGTGTCCTGGAATGAGTCTTTCCCTACTGTTGGTCAGGTGGATTTTTTTCCTACCTGTAATCTCAGGGAATGTAAGGAAAAGTGATATTGTTGAAAAAAGCCAAGAAAATAGAGTTGAAATTAAATTAAAAACTCAAGTCAGCCAGGTGTTTTTTTTTTTTGTTTGTTTGTTTGGTTTTTTTGTTTGTTTTTTGTTTTGTGTGTGTGTGTGTAAAAATAGGATGTTGATGTTGAAATATTATCCAGCTTTTCCAGATTTTATGTCTTTCACCCATCACCATTTTTCCTGTCCAGTTTTACAATCATGTTTAGTCATCCCCAAACTGAATTTTTTGGGAAGTATGTGATTTGCCCCTTGGTACTCTTAGCACTGTCGGAGGACAGAAAACCCATCCAGTTTTGCAAATGGCATCTCTTAAGGAATTTGCAGCTCCTTCTGAAATATTCTGTGTTAATGACAGGAATTGAACTTCTATATGTAGCTGGTTTTGAAGTTTCATATGTAGCTATGCTTTCTTTTGTAATAGCCAACTAAGAATGGTTTCTGATAAAAACACTGACTTAGCTTTGCAGTAAGCTTTTCAAGATCTCTTTCAGAATCTCTTGCTGTTGCCATTCAATGAATAGTTCAGGTCTCTTTTTCTAGCTTTTATCTCAATGTTCTAGTTACTCCATTGTTAAATGAAGAGTTTAATGAGTTTTAAAATGTTAAATATTGGATGCATGGTGCTTATGAAACCATGTAACTTTTTAAAATATGATTTATTTTAACAGGTTTTGTATAAACAGTAAGTTCCATTAAATAAATATGAATGTCTCACAAATGAGTAAAACCTTTTTTAGTTTCTTTTTATAAGAGTTAACATGCCGCCCCAATGCATGTGCATTCCTAACATCTGCATCTGGTGCAAATCACAAGGCTATGGGCTGGCATGTTCCACGTCTCAGACATGGTGGGCCATGGCTTGTGCGTGGCAGCACCCACATCAGATTTAGCATTGCTGTGCCCCTTTCTCCCCAGGGGCACAGTCTCCAGTGACAGTGAAGGGACCACAGCATCAGCTTTCCAGGGGAGCGTTGTTCTCCCTGACCTCTCTGGGGGACAGTTGTCCCTGTTCAGAATCCCCCCAGGAGGCTGTCACTTCTAAGGGGATTACAGAGCTGTGTAATCTTGACTGTCTGTCGAGATCCAAACTTCAGGGTGAGGAAGTAATGGTGCCCTAGAGATGCATGTGAGCAGCATGACTGTGGTGTAAATCATGGGGAGGTGATGGCAACTTCTAATTCTAAGTCTTCCGTGTGTGACACCAGGTGGGCTCTATAAAGTTTGTGAAGTGCTGCTTTTTGCTGATTTTTCCATTCTAGGCCCTACAGTGACCTTATTGGTGGCTGAGTCTAGAGAGACACCTCATGATTCTGAATTAAGAGTTTTTCCATCTCCAAAATCAGGGGTATTTTGAGATACTGGGATGAAAAGTACCATGGTTATTATGATTATACTGCTTGCTGTTAATATCAGAAAGGAAGATACTCTGTTCTTACATTCAGAAAGAACCAAATGCCATGAAGCTAATGGAATTGTAACAATAGCATGAGGAATGCTGTTAAAATACCAGCATGACATGGCTTGAGTTAGAAGTATTATATTTTTTGCCACATGTTAGGAACCACTAACCCTGGTGGCTACTGTAACTGATTAAAAATTGTATGGGAATCTGTTTTCAATATCTGTGATTTAAAAATATCTTGGAATGTTACACTGGAAAAGAAAATATATTTCCTGAAGTCTGCCTCCATGCCATTTCTTCACTGTCTAATTTTTGCTGTTCTTCTGGATTTTTTTTGGGTGTGTTTTCTTCTTTGTTTTTCTCTACTTTTTAAAAAATTATTATTATATACAGTGTTTCATCATTTCCCCAAGAACTGACATTTATCAGATGTCACATGCTGAAAATCATCCGTGTAGTTATAAATGTTTTGTTTATTTTCAGAGAGAATATTAAGCATTTCAAGGAGAAGAATCTATTTGTCTTTCTGATTTCTGTAGTATAAAATAGTAAGGAAACTTGAAGTGTTTTCTCTGTGCTTCTGTTATGGCTATTGATTGTTTTTCCTTAAATAGTTGAGCATTACAGCTGAAAGGATCTGATTAAACAAGTTAGGTTCTTTAAAGTTTCTATGATCTCACTTAAAGTGCATTAAACACTTAAAATTCAGCCTAACTAAGCTGGAATGGACACCTTAAAATAAGAATTCTCTTCCATTTTGTAATAAGGAAAACTGTAGAGAACAAGTATCATCATAGCCACTTCTTTATAAATAAGTCAAGCAGCTTTAACTCATAGATAGTAACATTTCTGTCCTGTGGCCTTGAAAACTCAGTGAGAGGATTTTCCCATGCCACAGAGAAGGATAAGATATCAGTTCTGAGTCCAATTTTTAGCTCAGACACAGATTTCTTCTGTGACTTAGAACAAGTTATTTCTTCATCATATGTTTTAGGTTTACCAGATATATAAAACCTCTGAGGTGGATGTGCTTGCAAAGTGCTTTAAAGCAGTGAAATGAAAGTTTAAAAATTCTTTAAAAGAAGTTTCTGTGAGGTTGCAGCCTGCTTCTGCAGTTGTCAGTGAAAGTTTTACCATAAACTTAAATGGTCAGAGTTAGGTTCTCTTAAAATCCTGTCTATGAAGTTCTTTATGAATTGAAAGTATTGTTGTTGGCAATTTATTTCATTTACATTAGTGTCTTTAGGTAGGTATTTGTATTAATAAGACTTCTAGTCTCTCTGACACTTCATTCAAATTAGAATTTGGTTCTCCTGAGCTGTACTAGGCAGCATTCAGGAAATTAATTAATTGGCCTAATTCTTTTTCTTTCACCCACCTAAAGACATACATTCTGTCATCCTCCAATCATATCACAAAAACTGCTCATACCTGAAATGTCACCATATTTAATTGTCTTGGTCTAGAAGTGGCAAGGTCCTGTGTTCCTGAACCTCAGCAATCACTGACAACATTCCCTTTGCTTAGTAAGGGATTCTGGCCTTAGAACTGTCATTGCCCTTAAATATGATATCAAAGTAGGAGCGAGTCTGTAGGCTGTGACTCAGTAGGACTTGGAAGTTTGGCTATCCCATCTCAAGAGCAATTTAAGCCTCCCAGCAAGGTGTCCTGCTCAGAAAGTGAGGAAGAGCATGGTGTACTAGCATCCATGTATGCTCCTGCAATGGACACTGACAGATTGTCCCAGGACCTGACAGGTTCAGCATTTACATATCTGTTTATATACCAGTGGTGAGCTGATTATCTTCTGCTGCTATTTGATCCTGGATCTCCCATATGTCTGTTGGCTTTCTAAGGTGAGTAGTGCATATGTTGTTGCTTTGCAGGGCTCAGGGGGATAGCTTGTACTGCCAGAGGTTTGGCCACGTCCATGCAGATAGTCCCTAGTTGCTTCCTCAAGGTCATTGTGACTTTTGTTTTCATTGAGTTTACTATGGCCTGTGCTTCAATGTTCTGGTACTGGCTGAAGCAGATACTACCTAAATGGTAACAGGCGGCAGCAGCAGCAGCGCAGAAGCATGATGCCTCCTGCTGCAGTGCTAGATGTTATAATGGCCATGCAAGTATTTTATGTAGGAATGATTTCAAAGTGGCATTCCTCTAGACTGCACATTAATGCAGTTATGCCTGGAAGGATGGTTTAATCAGAGAGCAGGCTTTTCTGTCTACTTCTTTCGAGGACTGCAGTTACATGTTCCAGGTAGCAAACAGGTATGTGGCATCCTACAGTTGTGATCCACTGGGAGGTGCACATCTAAATGCAAAAATAGGTATCCCAGCAAGTTCAAACTTTTCTCAATGTCAGATGGTATCTAGTGGCTCTTCAACATGGAAGCAATGTTGCCAAGTGGTTTGTAGTAATGCTTAGCAGCAAATTATTGAGTAAACAGATGGAGGCACAACAAATTGTTGTTTTTTCAAGAAAACTTGCAAGTATAGTATTCTGATTTGGGAAATTTTGTCCTCAGTGTCAGGAAAGCAATTCTCCTAGATGGACATGACAGCTTAAAATCGCTATCATTTTAGTAATGTTATTCTGGACAACAGAACTTCAAAACCTGAAATGATGTAAGGTGTTGGAATAAGTGTGTATGTGGAGTGTGGTCTTTGTGGCTTCACAGAATTACTCAGACTTCCTTTATTTAAAAAAGGAACCACATTTCTCAAGTTCTAAAAGTGACAGTCCTACAATGAAAAGAAGAACTAAGTGTTCCTTGAACACACTGATCCAGATGCACATGCAGGGGTTAAAGGGTTCACAGCTTAGAGGAAATGGCAAAAGTGGCTAAAAGGCAAACAAGGTCAGCTCTGAGGTAGTTGTTAGTTTTCTACTTAGTGGCCATAACAATCCTACTCTAAAACAACTTATTTAATTGTCGCTACAAGGGATGAATGGCCAGATGAAGCAGTTCTTTTATAATTGGATTTGGCTGAGTTACTTTACATGGTTGGAACTGAACTAGAGAAATGGTCAAAAATATTTGACCTGGTCTTGGCACATTTGGTACTGTGTAACTACTGACAAAATGTAAATGATTACATGGTAACTAGAAAGATGCGTGCCAGGTTAGTAGTGTGAGAATGCCTTGGCAAATTAGATTAATGTCTGCACGGAACAGACTCTGGTACAGCTCCCACTAGTCATACGAGAATGTGATGTGTCCGGAAGCTTGAGCAAACACAGTCTGAACCAACTGCTCATCCTGTTAATAGAAAAGACTCCCAGAGGCATACTATCCTGATCCATCTTTCTGTGTGTGTTCATGCATCCTGTTGTCTGACCCATGAAGCTGCAATGACCAGTCACTTGCAATCAGTTGTTCAAAGACAGGATAAACAGGTGTTTAGAGGAATTGCCAAAAGCTATCAGGTACTTACTACTTTTGATTTATAGATGATTTTGTGAAAATCCAACCCACAGCTATGTCTACCAAAAGGTGTTCTAATGCACCTAATGGAGTTTATCCAGAAAAGATGTACTATACTGCGCCAAGGACTGTGACTGGGCACTTTGGGAGGGAATGTACAAAACTCTGCATATAGCCTTAGCTCTTAGCAGGTGGGAATTGTTTGGAGGAAAGATAGGACTTAGATCACCTTCCTCTGCATTCAGGATGTAGTTCAGCCTCCTTTATCTCAGGGTCCTCAGCCATGAACTGTTACCAAGTGATGCAGCTTGGAGCTGCTTGGCTAACATAATCTGCTGTAGTTTTCCAATGTAGAAAAGCTTCCCAAAACATTTAAGCCAATTTTAGGCCCCCCATCAGTTCCTAAAAGCATCTCCTTTTCAAAAGTGGTAATTCACAGCTTGGTGTCTTTTTCTTACATTGTCTTTACTCTCTCTAAAATAAATCTCTCCATCCTTGACTTTACTGTAGTGGTTACAGAGACACCAGCTACCCAGTTCAGTGGGATTAACACTGATGCTGATCTACTGTTTAATTTCTTGGCTGATTAGAATTAGTCTCTCTAAGTGTTGTCTCAAAAATCAATGTCATTCTCTTTGCAGCAATGATATTTTTCAGCTCTGCAACTCTTACATTTTCTAGCATGATGAAAGGTCCACATAATCAGCTAGTGTAACAATTTATACAACGCAATCCTTGGAAACATACATAATGAGAAGGGAAAACTTTAGTCTTTTTTATGGTCATTTATGGTCATGTCCTGAAGTACAGTAACTGGTTTTAGATATGTTTTTAAAAAGTTGTCTAAATCTTGAGCTATGCAAGAAAAGTGATGGCAGGCTTGCAAAATAAGGCCCACGGTAAAATGTTGAATTGAGATTATTTCAATCGTGTTAATTCCAGGAAGTTTAAAGTGACCCCTTATTGTCTGCAATAAGAAGTAAATGAAAAAGAGAAAATACTGGATTATTCTCATTACTTAAGAATGCAAGCAAGCAAGCAAGCAAACAAGAAAGAAGTTGCTCTAAGCATTGTGAGGGAAAAATTAGAATTATATATATCAGGGGAAAGTTTATAAACATAAGAACTCATAGCCAAGGAAACCAGCCACCGAATGAAGCTTTGGAATCAGCACCACTGAATATATTCACAGCTCGGCTAGACATCCATCTATCAGAAAAGGATAAAGAAATCAGTCCAGCCACACTGTAGAGATTATACAACAGAGTTGCCTGCCAAATTTCTACCCCAAATAATGTATGATTTAGTTGGAATGGAAAAAGAAAATATTTTTGCTTGCTAGATCTGATATAATCTTAAATGTACAAATTCGTCTGCCTTTAAAAAAAGTATTGCTGGCAAATTTTTTTAAATGTTGTTTATTTTAACCAGAGTGTGTAGGTTTTGCTGTAGTTTGAAACACATTGACCCTAGCTCAGATGTTGTTACTTTTTAAACTAAGAAAAAAATATATATTTACAATTAAAAAAAAATCTTTAAATGAAAAATTGTTTCACAACATCTTTTTTCATAGGAATATTCTGGATGTTGTCAGGTCACTCATACCAAGCCTGAGGAGGGACTGTCAGTATGATATTTATTTTTCGCATGCTTAATTAGAGGTATGAAGGATGGTAAGACTGGAGGGCTAGGATAGTAAGGTTATAAAGGTATGGTTAGCTTTTCACTTCTATGTCACAACAACAACAACAAAAACAGGCCAAGAGGGATATTTCCCATTCATTACTTCCGAGTTACTGTTCAGATCAGTGGTAATGACCTACTTCTAGTGGGTTGGCAGCAACACTCATACAGTAGAGAGTTCAAGACTGAATTGAGCTGGCAGGCTAAGACTACTGATCATCAGGGCCTGGGGCTCAGATTTTTAAGGGTATTGTAACATTCAAGTAGTTGCCTATTGCAGTTTTGAGGAGTCTGAAAGCAGTCACCTTGAGCTGAAGTAAGTGGAGTTAAGGCACCTAAGCTCTTTACAGAAAGCTATGTATACATTTATCTGCAACACTGAACGCCTTTAAAATTGCAGCCTAGCAACCTCAACAAGTTTTCAGTGAAACTCTGATTCACCTCTTTTCCATGAAGCCTCCATAAGCCTCTGATTTCCCGATTGTTTATCCCAGCACATGCTGTAAAGGAGAAGATGGATGACCATTAGCTTTTAAGTACACTGCTGCAAGCGTAGTCTCCTTTCACGGCAATGCTTTCCAAAGCATCAGTCATATCAGAGAGACCAGGCTAGCACAGAGATGAAGCAGATACAATTTTAAAGAGGCCATTTCAGAAATAGAATTACCCTTAAATAACAAATGAATTTTCAGACTGAGTACTGAATTTTTACGAAAATTTAACACATAGAATTTAGTATTGTCAAGCCATCCATACCTTGAATTCCCTAATTCGTACTGTAAAAATTAGTGCTAGTTTCTAAGACATGGTAGAGAGTAGATCAAGGCTAATTCTTTGCAAAAATAAGTCTGCCACATTATCACTCTGCGTTATGAAAATGTGTCACATGATGGAAGGGAAGTATAAATATCTTCTATCTGATGTATACAATTGAAAAGGGAAAACACAGAGTGAAATCATCAAGCCACATTAGCCAAAGAGAACAGATAAGTAAGGGTATAGCACTGGAATGGTAAACAATCAAGCAGAGATTACATCTCTGTGTGGAACTGTGTGTGCTTTTTAGATGTGAAAACTAAAATGCTGACAGTAGAAAATTAAAATATCTAACACTCTTTATCACAGAAAATGTTCAAAATACTGTATGGATAGAGTAATAAACATCAATGTAATAAACATTAAACCCATTATAAAAAATGCTGCTCTGCAAATGACCCAATTTAGAAGGAAGGAAAGTAATTGCCACTGGACTCCGATTGGCCACATTTACATGTGTGCATTTTGTGCCCTTGCACCCAGCTCTTGCCACAGCTCTGATAGTGTCACCAACTGTGTGCCACAACTCTCACTGCTGCCCTACCAGCCTGGCCTGGCACTCAGCACACCCTTCTCAATAAACACAGGAAGCAGGTCATGCATGTGCTGCTTATTGCCTCTATCTTCCCTTTTGAGCATTTCTGTGAAACCATACGTGTAAATATCAGATAAAATGTGTGAAAGTCCCACCATCAGAAGATCTTTACTTTGAACATGTCTCTATTTTCCTTGTTCCTTCCCCCTCCACCATGACACAGGAAGAGTGCACCATTTCCTCTGAAGAGACTCATTGCTGCTCTCAGTAGCTCACATTTACCCAGATTTTCAGGGTGCATGCACTTTCAGCTGCACAAAATGTGGGACTTACCTGTGTATTTTAAGTCACTGAAATAGGACATTTTGGTAGAGGAAACAGTCAAATCAGGTTACCGCAAAATGGGAACTTTTATAGTTGACTGTTCAGGCATTGCTGCTGATTGCTGAGCTAGCTGTTAGTGTTGTGCTCAAGTTGTGCTACTCGTCTAGTACTGGAGTTGTTTGAAATAATTTCTTTTTCTTGCATATACAGGTATATATCTAGCAACAAGAATTTAGATGAATTTTCTGTAGTTAATAGAATTCTCATAAGACTTCCACTGAGGAGGAAAGAGAGAAAACCTTGCTGAAGGAAGCTTTGAATGGACTCTAGAAAAAGGTCCAAATGCATTCCCCTCAAAATACATCTTTGCCTGTGAAAAGCAACCTTCATTACCTTTGACATGCCACTTCATGACTTCTTATTAACTTTTTGTACTTTACCCACTCATCGAATTCAGAGGGTTTTATTCCCTGTTTTTCAGCCACTATCCTTCCCCAGATTTCACTCTTTGCAGTTTGCACACAGACACCATCTGGCTTCATCCCCCAGGTTGCCTAGACAAGGGCAATCTAGTTAGCCTTGTGAAATCCAAACCCCAGGCAAAAAACAAACAAACAAACAAAAAAACCCCCAACAAAACAAAAACACAAAACAGACAACAAAACAACCTGTACAAAACTTCTACAAGACAGGCTTTGTCACTCTTCTGTGAGGGGCAACTACATTACCCATAGCAACTGTTAGAACAAAAATCACATCTAAAGCAGTAAGTTATCTCCTCAACCAACCTACTCTTTTCCCCAAACTTTTCCTTTCAATTTACTAGAATTACTGCAAGTCTTTTCTGGTCAAGAGAAAGTTTGACCAGTGTGTGTGTAATTACAGAACTTAAGAGTAGAACATCATGTAAGAAACTGTCTATAAAATGCTTGGAATAAAGTAGATTAACAACAGATTTGCCAAAGAAATTAGGAAGTCATTCCAATGTTCTGTTCTAAATAACATAATGAAAATAAATCTCTGAGGCAAGATTCTGGACAAAGACATTCTTTTGAAAAGAGACCACAAGATTCCTGGTCTTCTTAATGAAGAAAACAGAAAATTGGTCTTGGTTTGGGACTCTCAAAATGTGGATCCTTTTGAGCAGTGTGGACAAGTACAGAATATTGTCCAATGTACTCATCCTTGAGCAGAAATAAAACAATTTTCTGTGTGCTCTGATTGTCTCATAGGAGCTGGAAAAAAAGAAAAAAAAAAGAAAAAAAAAAAGAAAGAAACCATCTCCCTTTGCTTTTTATGTTTGCTCTCACAAAGTTTCTAAAGGAATTTATTTGGATGAGGAATTTTGATCTGTATATCTATCTTCCCCTGAGAAATTGTGATCTAGTTGCACAGTTCAGTGGTTTTGAACCAGATATTCTTTTATTTCAGATTTGGGAATCTAAAGTCAGGATGAAACTACATAGGTGCAGTTCCTTAATACTGGCCACAGAGTGAGGACTGAGGTGAGTTCTTGGCAACAACACAGCCACCCCAACTTCTAAACTATAAAGCCTTGATTTCTAGTTCTCGTTGTTTGTTGTATTCTGTTGTCTCTCCTAATTTAACTTGTCTTCACAGGAAGAATGCTTATCACAGTCCCTCTCTGACAGCGTAGGCTCAGTGAAATGAAGAAGACCAAGTTTTCTATTGTTGTACACCACGGAAAGGTAAAAATACAATCAACACCTTTCTGTGCTTGGCAGTCAGAGGTTTGGAAGGGAGTGGGTATGTAATAACGGGTACTAGTGATACAAGATTCTTTCAGTCTTGTTAAATGCCCTGTGAAAAGCAGCATATATTGCTATCTGCTCTCAATATGAAAGGTTATATGACACTTAGATGATACAAGACTGTCATGTTAGAACTAGGTAGCATATTAGGTGTCCTGTTTTTGTTTCACAATGGTCCCCAGTGAAAACCACAATTTCACTTTGGTTTGAGGAGCATGTCCTGGTGGCATTGGTAGGTTTACATTTTGACACGATCAGAAGAGTAGAACTAGACTGGCTACTGTTAGTAGGGAGCAGTGTCTGATATTAATTATTTAGAATTTTGCAGTCTAGAACTGTGTTTTGCTTTCTTCTAAAATGGCAGCTTTTTCAGTCCACACTGTGCAGAGGAAAGTCTTGCCAGTGGAAATTCTTGTGTTGGTTATTTATAAATACACTTAGAAGTGTCACTTTTAAAGGATGTAATATGTAAATCAGCAATCTCTTCTTAATCACAGTGGATGCACAGGTTCCTTTTGAGTTCTAATGAAGAAGTTTGGAACTGGAGTCTATGACATGTTTGAAGTAATTTTGATGTTACTTTTGCAAGTTTCCAAGATTTTGAAGATGTGGCTAATAATAATAGCAGGCGTTGTCTGTTTCTCTCAGCATGTGGCTTGAAAGTAGTGTGGTCACAGAGCTATGCATTATTTACATGGTGTCAACATGTCATCAAGTGGTATGGCAGAGAGCCAGCTTAAATCACTTCTGATTTTAAATACAGGACACTGAATAATAATGCCATGTCACACTTGAGGACAGTGGAATCTGGCAAATCAGCAGTAGCTCAGCATGTCAAGTTCATTTGAATAGCTTCCTCCCTGAATGATCATAGAATCAAAATCAAGGTACAAGGATATTGTATAAAGTTGGCATTTTTTTTTATTTACCCCCCTGAAGCAGAAGGTTGTACCCAGAAAAGAGACACTTTTTGATTGCGTACTACAAAGATGTGCCATGAGGCCACTGCCCTCATGCAGGAAGATCTTCTCCTGAGAATGGGCAACCACTGTATGGTGCATATTTGCCATTAATCTTTGTTGCCTCTGTAAGCGCAAAATTTGATTGGTAAGACTACTTTTATTCATTAATGTTTTGCAGAATCTATTGCAACAGGTCCACCCTCTCACATAGTAAGTGCATTTTTTAAGAAGCAATCCCATTATTTAGCATGGGTGCTTTAAAGTTTTGAGGTCTCCCAAGAAAATCTAGGAGTGCTGTTCTCAGCTGTTGTTCTGCACCCGCTCTAATTTCTGTATCACCTATAGAGATGGTTCACCTTGCTAGTTGGTAGAAAACCAGTTCAGCAAAATAAAAACATGAAAAGGTTTCTCTTGATTTAGGAATCCAGTTGGGTTTACCAAGGAGCCATGTGAGAATCAGAGAAAGTAGAAAGGAAAGAATAGGCCTCTCCTGTCAAGGCAAAAAGGATGCAGAGAAGTGAAGGGGGCAGAACTGTTAGATGAATTTAACCACACTGTGAAATCTCACCCTGGAATGGTTAATGGACAGGGAAGGAGCTGTTGGAAGATTAAAAGGAGCACCCAAAATAATGGGATTCATTTTGCCTCATCACCATAATACTCTTTTTATGAAACTA